ACCCTGACTTGTAAGTATGGAGAACAAAAGTATGGAAGCGATGCGGGCTTATATAGACAATGGGTTCAGAAGATAGACAGGTTTAGTGGGAAGGCAGCAAGAGTCAGGTGATATCACGTGAACGAATGTGAGAAAAACGATGGCGACACTAGATCGATAGCGTATCTTGAGTTGTAGGGCCGTTCGATAGTGTAGGCAGAAGCTGACATGCATGTGCACGTGATCGTAGCAGCCTACGAGGCTATCTCGTAGACTTCTTCACCCAACTTCTCATTGATTTAGTTATACCTCGACTCATGCCTTTTGACCAAATACAACATTTAAGTGTTCTAGACCTGCACGTATCACACACTACTGTCCCTCCGCCAGCCTCAAGGCTTCCATCATACTCGTACTTTGTGGATCCAGATATGGTCGCTCACCCAAGCTGACCACTCTATACCCCTTCCTCGGGCCTTGGCCATCGGTATCGTACGTCGCTGTATGAAGTACGCTTCTGTTATCCCATATGGCCACGTCATTTGGGTTCTGCCATCTATGTCTAATCTGCAGATCGTGGTTCTCGGTGATGAGCTGCAAGAACCAGGCTTTAGTTCGCTCTGATTCCTCTGAGCTCAGCTCATTGATACGCTGGACGTGGTGGCCAACGCTGTAGAGTGACTTCCATCCCGTGACGGGGTTCGTGCGGATGCATGGGTGGACAGCGGTCAGAGAGTCTCCGGTGTTCTCCGGTGCACCTCGTGCAGCCGTGTAAACGGGGAAGTTGTTTTCTTTGGCCGCGCGGTTGAAGTCTGGTTGGGCGTATGTTGCGGTGAGAGATTCAAAAAACTTCTGATACGGTTTCGAGAGGCGGTCGTAAAGGTCGTACCCTGATGCCCACAGAGTGTCTAAAACAACTTCAGCCATGTCACTGTGAGTATGGCTACTTCTCGCACTCACCTCCACCTGACTTTGGTAGCTGCGTCATTCTCAAGATTGCATAGTCGCTTGGTACCGGCTCGAAAGTGATATCGCTGTGCCAGCCATGCTTGCCAGTCTGTGACCGCTCCTTGAAGAGTTGCTTCGCCAAATCCGAGCTAATGACACTGATCTCATTGTCGTTGCCTCCAAGACGGTTTCCCGCGTTTCTAACAGGATGAATGTGCAGTTTGGATGTTTCTGGTTTGCCAGAAAGCTCGCCGAGGCGTTGGGCCAACTCTTTTTGAAGTTCATCATCCAAATCATCCTGCTTGCGGAAGTAGACAACACCGCGCTGAGAAACTTTCCAAAATGTTATTGTTCAGTCATTGGGAAAACGTTGAGGGTGGCTTACTTGTGATTGCCAGGTCGCGTATCAAATCGTCGGAGTTTGGCGCGCGCAACCATTCCTTCAGACTTACATCCACAAATTCGCGGCCGATGACTGGTGTAACGTCGAAAGACTCAAAGGCATCCAGAACGCCTTTGGTCTTTAGAGGCTCGCGAGGATATCCAGGCTGCGTCTTGATGCCTATATCCTCAATGGTAGTGGTGGTCAAGGTGTTCGTAGCCATGATCAACGATGCTGATTTGCACTGCTACAGGGTGTTTCGCATTCCGACAGAGCGATACCACACTTATCTCCTACTCTTGTTCGCCACACCAACTGAACCTAGGCGCATATGCATCGAGGGAATGATGAACAGTAACTTCTCGGCTTGTGCATTGGCATCGTAGCATCATCGCATGGATGCTATGGTGCAATCATTCTCGGCACACTTATGATAGTGGCGGTAGTCGCTTCCTGCAACCACAGTCTTCCATGATGCGCGATATCGACGAGGTGTTGCGGGGTTGAGGCTACGACATGTGGGGGTGGGATGGCGTGCTGCTTGGCAGAGTCCCATTCACAGCTGGCAATGGCATCGATCCGGAAATAACGCGTCGCGACCTTTCCGCGCATGCAACGGCGGGTGTAGTGTTAGTATGGTAGAGAGATGCTTCGTCGTTCTTGCCTTCCTACCTGTAGGGGGAGTGAGCACACTAGTCCCCGATTAGTTTGGACCGAACGCGACGCGACCGCGACTTCCCAGCCCCTTGCTCTTTCGAGCTGCATCATTCACGATAACATCGCTGGCATGTGCACCGGAACCTTCAACCGTCTCAATAAAGACATCACTACGCTTACAAGGTACTCAGATTGCTAAGTGCAGATTTCGCGTAGGCTATTCCGGCAGTGTCTGACGACATCTTCGCCATTCTCGCAACATACCTCGCTACGATGCACCGGCGATCAAAGACGGATCCTCTTCCCAAAACACTGATATCGACCCTTGTATATGACAATCGAAGTACACCAACAGCGTTCATGCCAAGCCCACGGAGCCGAGGGTGGACTTTTCGGAACGAATCTACCAGCATGGATGTCGTATTCTTCCGATGAACGGCTGTTGTATCGATGTATCGATGTCCAGAGACTCCGACTGATCCAAGACGATAGTGGAATATACACTATCGTGCGACTGACCTTTCGCATGCGGTCGATTTGTAGCTGCACTGTCTGTTTCCCTACGCCAAATTGGGATTCACATGTGGCCGCGGAAGGCATTTTGTCGACTCAGATCGCAGGATCCTGGCGGCATTAAAGTGTATCATCAACTGACCTATCAGCATATATCTGTCTGGATATGTATGCACTGTCAATGAAGTTCCTCGCATGCAATCATTGGTATCGAGTTTCTGTCGCATAAACGTCATTCCTTATCTATGGCCTTCGTAACCAAGTCTCTCGGCTTTCAGAGCCTTGTCTAGACGGTAAGGCTCTTCATTTTAGCGCATGTTGTCACATGTACCTGGGGTTGCATCATCTGTCGATACAGTTCCTAGTCATAGACATATCCGGTCCCTTATAACACTCCCTCGGTACATTCGATAATCAGCACCGACCGATTGGTCTAAGCCAGATCAAAACGAATCACGAGAAGAAGTCTACTTTCATCTATCCTTGCAGACATGGCTGCATCTACACCAGTAGAAAAGCAGGCCCCCATCACCGAAACCGCTGACCCAAGGTCGTCACACGGCTCGAAGTCACCACCGCCACATCATGGCTCACACGAAGACCATCCGTTCAGCGACCCGGCAACGGCTCAGCGCTGGCGTCAGATTTACGATGACGCCGAGTACGAAGGACGTCATCGGTTCGACCCGACGTATACATGGGAAGCTGAAGAAGAGAAACGTCTAGTCAAAAAGGTGAGTAACTGAAGTCATGCCACTGATCAGGGCTGACGCTCTCGGTGTAGCTGGACTGGCGTATAGCTCTCTGGGCATGGATCATGTTCATATCGATGGAATTGAATCGAAGAAATATCAATCGAGCGATCTCAGACAATTTGCTGAAAGACCTAGGTGTGTATCAACTAAATGAGGGACACAATATGGTAGATATCTGACTTGGCGCAGGAATGAATACAAACGACTTCAACTATGGTCAGACTGTAAGCTTGGTTCAGTTCGTTACTCTCAAAGCTCTCGTTGACGCAAAGCTAGATCTTTCTTGGTTCATTCCTCTTTGCCGAGCTTCCAAGCGGTCTGATTAGCAAGAAGCTTGGTGCTGATCGGTAAGTTCATCTTGCCTACCTACCGTCTCGTCAGGCTTCAAGTACTAACCTTGTGACAGATGGATCCCAACCATTATCTGCATATGGTCCATTGTCAGCGCCTCGCAATGCGCCATGAAGACCAAAGCCCACTACTTCGCCATCCGGTGCATCCTTGGTCTACTCATGGGCGGCTTCATCCCAGATATCGTCCTCTGGTTGACATACTTCTACAAATCCAATGAACTTCCACACCGGCTAGCGTGGTTCTGGACTGCGCTGAGTACTTGCAATATTGTCGGTTCGCTGCTTGCAGCGGGTATATTGCAGATGCGAGGGCTTCATGGCTGGGGAGGCTGGCAGTATCTGTAAGCTTCCAATACCATCTGGTTCAACTTGCACCATTCCTAACACAGACAGGTTCTTAATCGAAGGTATCATGACTCTAGCCATCGGCATCCTCTCATTCGGCCTCATGCCTCCCGGCGCCTGCCAAACGCAACACTGGTTTCGCGGCAAAAACGGCTGGTTCACCCCTCACGAAGAGTACATCCTCGTAAACCGCGTCCTCCGCGACGATCCCTCAAAAGGCGACATGAACAACCGCCAAGCAGTTGGCCTCCCGCTCCTCTGGAAAGCAGCGTGCGACTGGGAACAATGGCCCCTCTACATTATCGGCCTGACTGCTTACGTCCCACCTAACCCGCCGCAGAACTACCTCTCGTATATCTTGCGCCAACTCGGCTTCTCCGTCTTCGAAGCCAACCTGCTCGCCATACCCAGCCAGTTTCTCTACGCTATCCAACTCCTCGCCGTGACCTGGTTATCCGAGAAGTTCAAGGAACGCTCCATGATATCCAGTCTATCGAACATATGGATCTTCCCCTGGCTCGTCGCTCTTGTCGTACTGCCCGCAGACGCAAATCCCTGGGTCAGGTACGCGCTCCTCACAGGCCTGCTGTCTTATCCGTACTGCCACGCCATCCTCGTGAGTTGGAACGCGAAGAACTCGAATTCCGTCCGTACACGCGCCGTCTCTGCGGCTTTCTACAACATGTTTGTGCAGTCCGGCAATATCATTGCTACTAATATCTATCGCGATGACGATCAGCCGTTGTATCGCAGGGGCAATAGGATATTGCTTGGTATCTGTTTGTATAACGTTTTCTTGTTCTATGCTGTAAAGGCATTCTACATTTGGAGAAATCGTGTAAGAGATGGGCAATGGAAAGCTATGACCAAGGAAGAGCAGGAGGATTATGTTTTCAACACGAAGGATGAGGGGATGAAGAGGCTGGACTTCAGGTTTTCCCACTGATGAGAAAGCGCATGGATTGATGTTGATACCAGCGCCTGGTTCCGTTCACTCAGCGTCCATGGCTTTCCCGTTATCTTTGCGCCTTGGTCACGATGAGTTGCGATTGGTTGATGGCTTATAACATGACCGGTGCAAACGGCCACCGATAGCAAACAAATCTGACGGAAATTACTAAGGTTCAGTCTACATAGGCCTTCCTGGGTGACCGCGTACAGACCGCCAGTGTGGATCTTCTCGGCTTGGCGCAAACACTTTACTCATGAGCATAATAAATGTCTTCGTGACCGAGTCCGCCGACACTCCTACACCTCACATTTCCGATTCTAAATCTAAGATGTCTTTCTCTTCTACACCCAGCATTGGTAGCGCCTTCCAAGATATCTACAATAGCCCTCACTACTCTGGTGTCGGCAGTGGCAGTGGCAGTGGCAGCGGTAACCAGAGCGGTAACCACAGCGGTGACCAGAGCACGAACTACCACCCGCCTCAGTTCCCTGCTCCAGCCGTGACAACTATCAACACTTCGGTCGCTCCGAGTGTAAGGCAGCGTCTCATCGAACTCCTTCATCCGTTCCGGGGCGACTTCATCAACTTCGTCGCTACTGAAGCCAGAGTTCATGAAAGGAAGGTCCTCACTCTCGCCGGTAAGTGTATTTCATGACCCTCTCTCACCTGAATCAATTTTTTCCCTGCCTGAATGCAAACATTTCTTACTACAAATGACTAATAATTCTATCAGGGAACCTCGCTGCGATCATCCACCACAAGGAGGCTCAATACGGCGAAGAGATCAATGCGAACCATGTCCACGTCTTGAGTCGCAATATGCAAGCCCTCAACGGTCAGGCGTGTATCAGTATCATCGTTCAGGCAGGTGGCGTGGCACATAAGGTCGTCAGTGTTGAGGTTGAGAACAGAGACACTGCCATTGATGCGCTCACCACCAAGGTGGATAACATGATCGGAATTTTGTTCTTGGGAGCTTAGGCAGCGGATAGGGCAAGAGTGGTGATAGAGGATATAACAGGAAGCGACGTTGGCTTATACAGACGATGAGCTGGGGGAATAGGTAGACTCAGTGAAAAGGCAGCAGGGAAAATTTACTTGCTTAAGTCACCACTGTACAAAATTTGCTTTTCACGGTTTCATTCGTTCGCGAGGGCCTTACAATCGCACGCTGTACCCGGTGTACGACGTGGGTCTGAAGGATAACATTCCGTACTTGACGCTGTACCTAGGGTATAGCTTTGGTTTGAAGAGTACAATAGAGCTCAAGTATGGTAGAAATGACTTCCTTGTCTCCCCTGAAAGCGACGTTCCAGCTTCTCCACTCCTTTGAGCAGGTGATGCGCCCTTGTCATCTCCTTCCGTCTATCTTCGTATGCGGAGTACCCTGTCACCACACCTCTAAGGTTACCTTTGGCGATGTGAAGGCGTTTCTCTTGAGCCCTTATGAGGCAGTATCTGAACTCAAAAGCCTCTTTTGCCGACGGCCACGGCTCTGGGTGGAGTTCGCGGTTCTACCGTCGTTCAGCGAGCCACTTGTCTGCCTCTGCCCAGACCTGCTTTGTCGCGTCTGGCACAGTAGAGTTATTCGCGGACTTGACACCGGCACATATGGCGTCCCATAGTGAGAATGCGGACTTGAGATCGCCAGCGAGGTTAAGTGATTGCGGGAAGTAGCGTTCTGATGCGGTTTGAATAACACGTGACTTGGTCGTTGGGGAGGTCGGATCGGCATCGCCAGTGAGAAGCTCATCGAGGTACGATTTGGCTGCTATGCTAAGCGCACAGTTGTTGGGCAGAAGGAATGGAAGCCTAGAGAGCGTTAGTTTATCAGACTCGGGTCATTGTGATTCGGGACGACTAACTTCATCGCGATGGCTGGTATATCAGCATGTCTAGTGCAGCAACCAGTACAGAACATTTGTGTAGCGGCCACCTCGATGATATCTCGAAGCGACTGACGGACTTTGTTGATGATGGAGTTGTAACCGAGCAAATGTTGGCTGAGAGGTCCGGTGAAACCGATCGGACGGTGGTGTAAAGTACCTAAGCCAGCAACACGAGACACTAGCATATTGTACTCCTTGTCGTTCGCTAGGTGGCTGTCAGCTATGCAGGACTTGGTCAAGGGCTTCCCACTTACTGCTACCACGCATTGGTGCGCCGTTGTACATAGAGAACATATCGATGTCGGAGTTCAAGAGGCCCAGCCGTATCAGTTCGACTGCGATCACTGCAGCCTCTTCGTGCTCTGGCTTGCCCTTTAGGCCAGCGATGATAGAAACAAGAACTTTACCCCATTGTGTCAGATTATGGCTCTTGGGGTCGATGTACTCTCGTAGAGCGAGGAAGCGCCATATCGAGTTGTACAGTATCTCGGAAGTGGAAGAAAGAGGATTCTTAGGATCTTTCTTGGCGACCGATTTGGTAACGAAGTCAGAGTTTTGCAGTGATAAGATGGCTGCACCGAGAGTCCCGCAATCCTGTCAGAGCGTTAGTATTGACCCGTCAATTCGGTTGCGGCTTTGCTGACCTTGTACTGTCCGACAACATCCCTGAATGTAGCTTCCTTCACATTCCAGGTGTCAACGAGCGAAGGAGCTATGGCTTCTGATGGCTTCTCGACAGGGATGGTTGTGGATGTGCGTTTCCCATTGGGTTCGACAGGAGAATACCAATGCGTCTGATGCAGAGACTGGTGCCGATACCAATTATGTAAAGTACTAGACAAAAGGTTGACAGCGGGTGTTCGAAGTGGGATCAGCTTAGAGCTGACGAGGTCCCTGTATTCTGGAGACAGGCCACCATCCATGGGAGGGACTTCGAATACCTCGCAGGTAGTGCGCCACTGGATGATGTGCGGGCTGATGAGACCTTTCGACATGTAGTGGAGGATCTCGTCTGGAAGCCTTTGACCCAGATACTGACCTGCATCGTTAGGCATCGAGCCAGAGTTCTGAGGCTCGACCTTCCCTTCCTCGGTGTAGACTGGGTGATTTTTGACGGCCAGGCGTGCTTTCTGGTATCGAGTGACGTATTCCTTACCCGCGGGGGGGACATCGTTGTTGTTGACAACCACAGAGTATCCAGACTGACCGCTGTTCATGATGGTCTTAATAGCACTGTGCGGCTTGATCAGGTCTGCCCTGTTAGGCGCGTCGAGGATCGGGTGGGTCGGGAGGAACGGCGTGCCGGCGAGTATGCAGGTGTCGAGGAAGATATCATCTGAGATGTTGGGAGCGTTGACAAACTTCGAAAGGTCGGCTATGCATTTCTCTCGGCGGACGAAGCTGAAATGTCGGGCCTCGAAGTCCCAAGCTGTTATGATTTTGGAGCATTCGAAGATGAGGATATCTGACGAGCCGTAGACGGCGTGGACGTATTCGTGTTTCTCGAGATATGCCAACTGTCCATAATTAGTCACTGCGAACAGAAACTCCGGATATGCTTGCCTGAGCCCAGGCGCTGTATGGCGCGACGGTCCAACGAATGTTGCGCTCGGTCAGGGTTGACTGTAGGGCGCGGAAGAGGTCCTCAGGCGTGACGTATGCTGGGCAGAGTCAGCACGATACACAGTCGCATCTTGGCGGTGGCCATACTTGACTGTCCGAACTTAGCGACAGAGGCTTCCGCCTCGTGACTGTCGTACAGAGTCCACGCATTGATGTTTACCGATGCCTCGGTCTCCTTTTGTCTGAAAGGATCATCGTGTTTTGTAATGTCCAGCCCGCTGAAGACGAAGACGGGTTCGATGTCGAAGCTGCGGAATTGGGCCAGATCGTCCTCAATGTGTTGTGTCAGGGCCAGCGGAAGGCCTCCCAGCGCAGGCACAAGCGGCTCCTTTGCGCGCGGGTGATTGAGGATCCGCTGGTTCAGATATTCGGCTGCTTCGATGCCTACGCGGCAACCGCGCAATTGTTCGAGCTCGCCCGTTTCGCCCAGTGTGGCCGTCCATTGTACGAAGTCGCGGATCATGGTGCCAGTCGCGTGGTGGGGCTGTTTGAAAGTAATGGGAACGAGGGATTGATAATGAACGGAGACGATGGCAGTAAAGTCTCGAGTAATACTAAGAGATTCGCCTGGCGTGATTACTGTATGTAGCGACGACGTGTGGTAAAGTTGTAGAGGGTTGCGGGGGTGTGGACAGTAAATTGGAAGCTCCGATGCAGCTCCACGCCTTGGCAACTACACGATCCCTGATCAGCCGGGCGCTAGCTCAGGTACAGCGTCTAGCCGTACGAGGGAACGCAATCGCGCCGAGTAGAGGGATGAATGACGGGTAGGCGCAGAATTGAGGGTGATCTGCTTCCGTAAAAACGCCCCAATTTGAACGTGGCTTCTCTGTTGCTTTCTTAGTGCCTAATCGCGTCTCACGTCTCACCTCTGCCCCTCACCTAGCGTTACTCCAGGCTTTCACGCGTCACATCTCACTCTCTCTCCAAATGGCTAGTTCAGGACACCACTCGGAAGCCATACCGGTTATTGATATCTCAAGCCCCTCCGAAGACGTCGCTCGGCAAGTGCTGGACGCGGCTTCCACACATGGCTTCCTCTACATTAAGAACGATGGTGTGACCATCCCACCCCAGGACATCGATGGCATGTTCAAGTTGGTATGATGTGTCGATTGTCCGAAACTAAACTTGTTGATTGATGAAAATAGTCTAAGGAGTTTTTCGCCGCTCCCAAAGAGCAAAAGTCGGAATACGCAATCCACTCTGAGAAAGCAGGGGGCATAAACCGCGGGTGGGTACAGATGCAAGGCGAATCTCTGGATCCTGAAGGCCAAAAGGTGATTATCAACATAACAAGTGATGAGACGACCTGCTGACGAAACGAATAATAGCAAGGTGATCCAAAAGAAGCCTTCAACATCGGACCCCCAAACCCAACCCTCCAACCCCTCCCATCACCTCTACAGGAATCCTCCAAGTTGATTGCCCGCTTTCAACATTCTTGCCACACCCTCTGCAACCAAATTCTCTCTCTCCTCAACACCGCCCTCCAAATTCCCGACCCCAAGTACTTCAGCACGCGACACGACCAATCTCTCGGCCCTTCTGGCACCATCTTCCGCATGCTCTACTACCCATCTACGATCTCCCAAGGAAAAGACTCCAAGCAAGGTGAAACCAGTATCCGTGCAGGTGCACACTCGGACTACGGTAGTCTAACCCTCTTGTTCCGTCTGCCAGGCCAGCCTGGCCTTGAACTGTCTACGCCTTCAGGTTGGAAGGCAGTGCCGGTGAGCCCATCGCCATCGTCATCACCTCCAATCCTGGTCAACATAGGAGATTTGCTGTGTTATTGGACTAATGGTATGCTGAAATCTACAGTCCACCGGGTTACATTTGAGGGCGGGCAGGAACGATACAGTATGGCGTACTTCTGCCACCCGCTAGATGAAGCAAGGTTGGACGCCGTACCCAGTCCCGTGATTGAGCAGTTTGGTAACAAGGGGGAGGAAGAACTAAGGAGTCAAAGAAAGAGATTGGGGTTGAGAGAAGACGGGCTCGGAGAAGAAGTGATAACAGCCAAAGGGCATTTGGAGAGACGACTGAAGGTGACATACGGGATATGATGAAATCAGATTTAACTGACAAAAGGTATTACTATCAAACGCCTGCGCTATGCTCCATTGTTACTTCAAATAACACCTCGCTATGCTTTGCGCCATCCCATGCAGACAAATCCAAGATAACTTCCTCACACATACACCACTTACATTATGACTGTACAGGATGAGGGTCTTCTTCACCCTCGCCTCTTCCTACCCGACCTTCCCGTAGTATTCCCTCCAACGTCTTTCACGACGCCAATTCCTTCAACTGCCACGCTCTTCTCCTGCATAGTCCCACCCAGCTTCTTGATCATCTGCTCCCTCGCTTTCGCAGCACCAGGAGAATCCCAACCTAGCTCCTGGCTAGGCTGGTATTCCTCCACCAGCACCGTGTTCTCCTCTTCTTCCTCTTCTCCAGCCA